GGCTACAGTCCTACTGCGCCATGTTGTTCGAGGTTTGTCTGTCTCTCTCTCTCTCTCTCTCTCTTTCTCTCTCTCTCCCTCTCTCTCTCTCTGTCTGTCTGTCTGTCTGTCAGCCTGTCTCTCTCTCTCTGTCTCTCTCTGTCTCTCTCTGTCTCTTTCTCTCTCTCGGCCTCTTAAATAACCTTAGTGTGTTGATAGGGGTGTTAAGTCCATGTCATTTCACCCTTTGGTCTATGGTCCTACCGCTGGTCTCCGCTGCTTATCTGACGTGTGTGTCTGTTACCTTCTCAAAAAGTTAAAAGCATTTATGTCTCGGTCCCTTTTGAGTTCTCATCGTCTGATTCTTACAGTGTTGAAAGAACTAGGGTCCTGGGTGTAGCGTTCAGAAGTTTGGCTGTCAGTCGTACTTTGAAGACCCTCAGTTCGATTCCCGGGCAGGGGAGAGCTTTTATCGAGAATTTTTGTGTCTTTCTGATGGGATGTTGTATCCCGCTCAGCCTGGGGTAGCCCTCGCAGGGAGAGTGAAAGTGGATCTCGTCAACGATTAAAACTGTGTCCATGAGTCCATGACAGCGTAGAAGCACATACATTACATGTTTTCTTAATGTGAGGCAGCGTGATGGAATCAGGCTCTCGTCAATTTTGGGCATGTAGAGTTATTGGAATCATCTTAAAGCTTGTTCGCTTGTCTTTATTTGGATGAAAAAAATATCCATTTATCTTGAATACAAGTCGAGATATTTAATCAAGAAGGAGGTCGGGGTCACCTGTTTTCAGAGGTAAAATTAGTGAGAAAATGGCCGCTAAAGGTTAGTTATTTTCTTAGCTTAAGAGTCCGTGGTAACTGAAAATTTACATTTTCGGTGCCTTTAATCAACGTTTTTCAGAAAAATTCACACAGAAATGAGTTCTTTCATGGGCATGAAAGGTGTTGAGTCAAAAGGCAAAAATTTAATAAAAATTCACAAACCTGCGGAAAAATGCAACTTTCTTCATTTTGATTATTTTGACCAGAGCCTGATTCCACCACGCTGCCTCACTTTTACTAAGGCTTTGCGCCTACTTTCCTCGGTCTTCTCTGAGCTGGCGGCTACGTTCTAACCATTTGAATTGCTTGGCAATATAAGATAAGATAAGATATGATAAGAAAGTACTTTATATCCGAGAGGGAAATTTTCCTTGGCTGTACAGGACCGTAAAAACACATGCAGGTATACATAAAAATAAATTAAATCCTATATATTACTCTCATTAAAATTCAATATGAAAGGAGAAGTAGAGCTGACAAAATGTACATTTACATCAAATGCATCTTTCAACCACATGCAGGAATTTAAATACTAGACCTTTGGAGTTATATACAGATACATACTCTAAGAGCAACACACATCTATGCTCATTCTGACAAAAACCTTATGCTAGATGGTAAAAAACTTCTTTTATATCTTTCCTTCTTTGTTTTTGGAGGTACGTATCAACCGCTGCGTGATCTTACAATTTGTGTGGAAAAGGGGTGTAATGGGTCGTTTATAATGCTTTTTATCTTCGTTTCCTTCTCTCTGTTGCTTCTGTCTGTCTTTGGTACCATTTTCTATGACG